GGAGGGAATGGCTGTTTTATCTGTTCTTTAAACACTACATGACTGAATGTAATAATAACTTGGCAAATTTAACAACCTGCCAATAAATGGTTGAGTGAATGTAAAACATAAAACAAAAATTATTAAACACCCTAGTACTGTCATTTAGTATACCATTATTTGAGGTACCAAAAAAATGGAAAGAACCCACTGTCCCCGAATAGATCTAAAAAAAATTATGGAACGTTGAAAACATCCATACAATAGCCAATCCGATACCACAGCTCTGTAAAACAAAACAACTGTGTTTTGATGTGTAGACATCCATAAGATAAAAAGAGAGAAGAAAGGCTTCTACCATTTGTGTAAAAAAAGAGGGAAGTAACTACATTTGTATTTTCCAGTATTTGCATAAGAAATCCTGGAAAGATACACTCAAAGGAACAAAAGTGGCTACCTAAGGGAGGAGAGCCTGGGACGACAGCCGAGCATAGCAGTAGGAAATCTTTTCACTGATAACTTTTCATATTTTTAATATCTGAGCCATATGAATGTATTACATGCTCCAAATTGATTTTTTTAAAAAGCATTGTGTTTTCAAAAAGAAAACACTCCTTCTGGCCACCTAGTCTAAACATCCAAGCAGCACACCCAGCACTGGCACCCCCCTTTCATCTTTTACACACTCACACCTGGGTTCCCGCAGGCTGTCCTCGGTCTAGGAAACTCTTTGACCTTCGTCTCCCTACCAGTTAACTCCTTCTAGTAACTTCTCAGCTTTTGGGGCGCGCGGCAGGTCGCCTCCTCCAGGCGCACCCCTATCTGTATACAGGTGAGCGTTCACAGGTGAGGGCCGGGAAGTGCCTCCCGGGGAGGTCTATCCGCGCCTGCAGCCCGAGTCTCTCAACATCACCCCCCACCAAAAAAAAGGGGTGGGGGATGATGTTGAATCAGATCACCCCTAGGGGTCCCTCTGACGCTCGTATTCACTCTCTAGTCCCAGGGCCAAACTTAACTGCAATGGGAGCACAAAAGGGGGGTGTTTTAACGAGCTAATTTTCAGAGTTCCCCTCCCACCCAAAAGAGCAGCGAATAGTTGAGGAACACCTGAGTGGAGCCTCGGCCCTTCTCTGGACACTGGGCAGCGCCAACATGACCCTGGACCGTTCAGACGGCCGAAGTTGGGGCCTACAAGGCGTCTGTTCCGCGGGCGCGCCCTACAGCCCTCCGTGCGCCCGAGGTCTTCCCTCCCCTCCACTGCCGAGGAATGCGCCTCCCGGTATGTGTGTGGGGAAGCGGCACGCTTCCTTCCAGACCCCGCCAGAGACCCGAGGGGCAGACCAGACTCGGCCAAGAAGGGAAGGGCGTGGCAGGCGAGGGCCGGAGGCAGGAGCGCGAGCAGCAGCGGACTCACGTACTAGCTGTGGCTGCGCCGCGGGAGCTCGGCCGCCGGCGGGACAAAGGCGCGGACAGCCCAGCCGGAAGAACTCGCGTCGGCCCTGATGCACTTCCGAGCCCTCTCTGGGATGCTGGAGGACTGACTCGGTGGTACGGGCCGGCGGCGGCGGGGATGAGTGCGGGAATCCCTCCAACTGCTGTTTATCGAGTGGCGGCTGCGCAGCGCGCGCTGAGGGCGCGGCCTAGAAACTGCAGGCGGGCCTTCCTGTTTTCATGGACTTTACGTTACGCGGCGGAATGGGGGCGGGGTGTGGACACAAAATAAATAAGCGGCCCGGTACGTGCCCGGCGGAGGTGCTGGCCGCGGTGGGGAGCCGGAGATCCCGGACGCGGGGCGCCCACGACTGCCTGAGGTGGGTGGGGGCCCGTCCTCCTCCTCGGATAGCTGGTGGGGGCGAGCCCCAGGAGTGCCGGCTGCTCCGGGACGCGTGCGCGCGCGCGGAGAGCCGCCCACCAGGCGCCCCCGGCCCGGCGGGGGGATGCGGGATTGCTGCGCGCCGCCCGGAGCGGCCCCGGGGACCGGCGAGACCACCACCCGCGGGGGCGCTAGCTTGGCGGTGGCCCGCCCCTGCCTTTGCGCCCCAGGTGTAGGCTCCCAAACTCAGGGCCTAAAATGGCTTTGAAAAGCTGTCCTTTGTTTTTTTAACAGTAACATTTAAATATTTTTCATCCGAAGATTAAATAATTGCAAAGGATATGTATTTTTTGGCATGCTGTTAATACTGACGTTAAGAAAACAAAATTGCTTATTCTTTCAAATGTATTCAATGGAATCTAAATCCATGACGATTTGACACTGTCATCTACTTTGAACAGTCAGAAATTTTACAAATTTTCTGGATTTTTCTCTTGAACTTTTATTTATGTCT